CGACTGAGATCGGCCAGGTCGATCGAGAGTGCGAGCAGCGCATCTATCGATAATCGCGTCCAACTCGCTCTCTCGCTTACTCGGGACTCATCCGCGCCACGAGTCACAATGCGTCGAAGATGCGAACTTGCGACGAATGTATGACTAATCGCACCGATAGGGCGAAATTAGCCGGGAAGGAATGCCTGGGGATGCTTTTATGTCGACGCATCGCGTGAGAGACACTTCGCAAAATTAGCGTGGCTGCGAATTTTTAGTCAGGCGCGACTAAATGTCAGCCACGAGGTTGCAACATGTACGCGAATTCCGCTTGGCGACGGTATTGATAGCTTGATATTTAGACAGGTGCCAGGAAGTGGTTGATTAAGAAAACTGGAAACAGGAAAAGATGCGGCGAAGGTAAAAGCACAAACAAATCCAATCCTGAGAGGACGAGAATCGCTATACCGGGAAGAAGCAGGATCCGCATCGGTTCATAAACTCGATATTGACAAGTCGAATGCTGTTATTAAATAGCTAAATGCACACAGGAAAAGACGGTCAATTGGAGAGAAATAAAAATGGCAGGAGCGAGAGATAACGAGAAGCAAATGTAGTAACGCGCCGTCCTTTACGTTCAATGATATTTTACAGGAAACGTACAGTTCGATCTTCATCACAAAAAGTCAGCTCCTAGTTTAAACAATCCGTACTTTGGACTAAAGTGGTCACACGTGCGATTGATTTCAGGTACAGGCTGAGATTATCACTATTGCCGATACGTCGACTCGTCTCTGCATTATCGAAATATGGTTTTACTAAATTTATAACCCATTTTCGTCCGTGTGCGCGTAATTCCTTATATACATCAGAACGAATTCTAAATTATAACCCCGATAACACGAAGATCGCATATCTCCGATATTATCGTGGCCGATATAATCGGCACACAATCAAGCACTTCAAACTTATCGGACATGCGATGCAAGCGAGAAGCTGGACATAAAATTAAAACGGCACTTTACTTCCGCTCAGGAGAGAAACACATAATTTCTGGCTCACATGTTAGGATTTGGCGACTTCAACGCCCGATCGAGCGTTCGCTCTTAAAATGTACTACACGTTCCTCAGGAGAAAAAAGATATTTAATTATCTTGGTGCTGGAATTCAGTTTACTAAAGAACTTGAAACGATCCATTTCCAATTTCTCGAGCCCTTTAATGTAATTCGATTATTTCCATTAATCGTCGTTATATGAAATGATAAATTTGGACTATAATTACGAATAACCGACAGTACAACCGCGCGATGGCGCCGTCGAAAACTCCTGGGTGAGCCACGTGAGAGGATCACGTAGAAATCGCGGCTCGAAGGAGAACGACGTCCGACAGACGTCCGGAACAGCACGGAGAGGGCACCGAATTACGAGCGATTCGCTACGCTCTCTCGAGCCGCGATTTGTCCGCCCAATTTCACGGCCCTTTCGGGAAAAATGGGAAAATCTCCTCTCTCTCTCTCTCTCTCTCTCTCTTTCCCCCGGCCGCGGCGGCGAGTGTGGGAAATAGACCGCGTTATTCTCCCGCGGTTGACTCTGCGACACGCCCATGGCGGACGCGCGGATTAAAACGTTCCTTCTCCAGTCTTACGTTCGGCGATAACGAACGCTTTAACACCACCGAGTAACCACGGGAGATCGCGGGGGTTAATTTGGTTATCGGCTCTAGGCTAAATAAGTGCGCTAAATAAGCAACAACGCGATCGAATAACATTTCTCGAGTACATTGGATCCTATCCTTGCTCCTAATTATCCTGATATGGGGAGAGGGAATCTCGCGCATTATACATTTTTATGGTGCCTTTCCCGGAAACGTTGCAGCAGAGGAATTGCGTCACTTTGAGTCAGGCTCGCATAAAGTATTTCCAGCGTGTCCTCAAGCAAAGAAATTACATCTTCCGAGCCGTTTCGCTTGACTCCGTTACACTCGCAGAGCCAAACATAAATTATAATCAAACACATTTTGCTCTCGGGACAATTCACGGTCCTCTCCATCCAAAGTAACCATTCAACTGTTAAAGTATCCAAAACACGGACACTTATACATTAAAAAAGCCGCAGGCATCAGCAGAACAACGCTGGTGGACGACCGTTCTAAAATTCGTCGCATTTATTCGCGTACTTTCCTTGCCCGATTAATCGACCCCCTCGCGACGCCGCCGGCACCGTCGCCGCGGCCACCGCAATCACTCTCTCTCTCTCTCTCTCTCTCTCTCATCGCCTTCCGGAACGCGTCCGCGGCACGATTATTAGTTTTCCGGAAGCCTGCCGCCGGGCTCGTTCTCATCGACCGCAGAGGACGTTGGTAACGTTGTCGTCCACCGCCCGTCGTACGTTACCACGCTCTATAGGGGAGAATCGCTCTTTCCGCGTCCTCCGGGTAGGCGTGGCGGCGTCGGGAGAGATGATTTATCCCTCGCGCGAGGCGCAGTAACTGCCGAGATCGCCGGCTAAACGACCGCGCCGGTCCTTTTCCTGTATTAACCGTAATGCACTCTGCCTTGCTATTGTGTACACTGTATACGACCCCGTACCCCCGCCCCCTTTGCCGTCCTGTCGTCTCGTTGCCGACCCCCCTCCTTCTCTCGCCCCTTTGAGCCTCCTTCGATCCCCCTTTGCTTGGACCCAGTCGACCTCTCGTTTCCTTCCATCGTCTCGCAGCCACGCTTCCTTCCGCTCCTTGTTAACGTTCTCTCGTCGGAGGCCCGCCGATCAATTTTGCGTCGCGTCCGCTTGACCATTTCGTTGCTCTGTTATCGCATCGATTTGATATCGCACGTTATGATATCCAGATTCTAATTCTATATTATTGACGAGAGACCGGTTTAGTACTGCGTCATTTTGGGCTTGACTCAGATTACCTTTAGTTTTAGCCATTGATATATCTTTGGTATCTCAAAGGATACAAAACAAACAGCAGACTAATCGCGCATACTGACGTTAATGAAAAGAAATCGCCGGGCTAAATTTCGATACACGTAGATTCTCCTTCCAATCATTGGCCAGTATATCGGAAATCTAAAGATAAACGTATCCTTCATAAAGTATGAAAATGAGAAGGTGAGACGCGAGATTCTCCTCGACTGTAATTTCAACCGATATAGCCGCCGCGATTCTGCAAGCAAATTAATCAATTAATTACTGGAGAATAATGAAGGAGGACATACAAGTATGCACGGAAGAAATAACCGCGCGATGATTGCCGCTACGTTCGGGGGAGGGGGGTGGGGAGCATTCGTATCGCGCTTTAAAATCGCATCGTGCAAAGTTGTCGAATCGACTCGAGATCTCTCTCCGACCTCACTTCTCTCACTTACCTAAGATCAACGGAGTCACCTGTCTCATCGATTATACCTCGGCAAGCGAGGCAAGCGCGATACGTTCGCGCGTACCCGACGCGGTCTCGTGTGTCTCGAGAGTTCACGGCTGCTCCCGACTGAAAGAGAGTAGGCTAAATCGAATTAGCCGGCTGACACATCGGCGCGCTTTGCATCGTGCATCGTCCTACAGTTGCAGCGAAGCCCGAAGCCAGCATATGGGGTCACGCCTACGAGGTAAGCCAAGGGGGCCCCGATTTCGGCCGTGGATCCCTTTCACCCAGCGGGCCCAGCCCGCACGCGCCTGCGAAAATGCGCAGTCCGCCGAGGTGATCCCGTGGGAGCACCCGACGGACTGAAACGACCCGACTCTGGCCGAGGTCCCTCGAGCGCACCGCAGCGAAATTGTCAAAACAAGCCGGCGATTAGCCATATCTCGGCTCTCAAGCTGGAAAGTCGACGCTGCACTGGGAAAAATGTATTGTTGCGTGAACGAAAATTTTGTTGTAACAACAAAATAATTTGGTTAAAATATGCCCGACAAAACTGTTTAGTTCCTGTAAACAAATATCTTGTTTGATTACGGTTTGTTCGTATAACGTAATACTTTTGTCATAGCAACCGAAGAGCTTTAACTATATGAATTTTGTTAAGAATACTGTAATTTTTTTTTAATATATAAAATCTAAATTTTAGTGCACTGAAAGCACAAAATAGTATCCACGGGGCATTATTTTAGTTTGTGTAAAATAATATTTCGTTATTGTGTAATTTTTTTAGATAAAATAACTAGAATACTTAATTTTTATATATAAAGTCTAAGAACAAAATCATTTGGTCCAGAGAACAAAGCAGAAAGATATGTTTAGTTGGGACAACTAAATATTTTGTTACATAAAACAAGATATTTGGTCGCTATTAAAAAATGCCTCAACTAAACAGTTTTGTTAGAGATACTAAATTTTTTTTCCTAGTGTGGGAGCGTGCGAATGATCGCCAGCAGGTAACACTCGACATTTGAAGCTTGGTCTTACAGCCCGTCGCCCGGTAAGTGAGACAAATAAATCTCGCAGAATAAATGGACTTCCTGGAATTGAACAGTGAGAGGAGAGCTCTGATTTACATTTCCGAAGTTTCGTCTTTCTCGATTCGATCGATCGCGCGCACGCGCGCGCGCGCGCGCTCGACCGGTGCCTTTGATCTTTGCACGGCGTGCATAAATTCTGTCCGGATGCACCGAAGACTAAGCTAAGTATAGCTTTGCATTGCGCGTCGTGGTGATCTCGATAGTGTCGTAAAGGTGGACATAGGTGGACATGAGAGGCGAACGATATTTCGGATTACAGTCGCACGTTTTATTGCCGACACGATATTACAACGTATGCAAGTCTATAGCCCGACATTTTGTGCGCTTCCGCCTCGTTGCAGCGTTTCGCCGTTGTAATGCAGCTGCGATGATCGCACGGTTGATCGATACGCGATATCGCCGCCACGTTGCTCGCCGGGCTGAAACCCACTGCTTAATGTAAACTATCTACAGGTACGAGCTCTACGGTGTTTATGCGACGTATACGCTATCTGCGCTGTGTGTGTGTGTGTGTGTGTGTGTGTGTGTGTGTGTGTGTGTGTGTGTGTGCGCGCGTGTGCGTGTGCGTGTGCGTGTATGTACAAACTGTTAAGATCCACGTTATTTACAATGCGCCAGATCGGCAATGCGCGAGATCGGCACTCCCGCGTCGGGATCGAGGATCGAGCGCTCGGAAACGCGGCTGAGCCGCTGACTTCTCGACTGTACTCTCCGCACAGATTGTGATCGACGCGGCGACAGAAACGATCGGGAACGACCGAGAAGGGACTAGGAGCCTTGTAGATCTCGAAATAATTCACTGGAAAGTGCACGGCAGTCGAAATAGACAAGGCGAAAATTCTCTGCTATTTTCGAAGCAAAGAACCGTTCGATCGGTTATCACGAAGGAGAGGTCAACAAGCGAAGTTCTCGCGAAAACTCGGAAAATTATCAGTCTCCACGCTCGATGAGACCGGAATGATGCACGTGAGAAAAAACGATCCCGATTGGTGTAGCTGTGTAAATTTTGCGTTGTCTGAGACGAATAGAGAACACGACTTGGTTGTCGGCAAACCGTCGGGAGGTTCCTGCAGAAGGTTCCTCTTAACCAGTCGATCGTCCTCAGTTTGCCTCGACCGAGTTTTAACCGCGACAGATGAGTATTTGAACAAACGAACGTTCTCGGTCGCGGCAACGGAATTGTCGTTCCTCGAGTGCTCGTTTGCTTTCTATGCGACCGCCCGAGCTGAGATCTTTCTTCCGGCGAACGCGAATAAATCAACGAATTCTGCTTCCGCATTTTGAATCAAGGGACGAACCGGAAGAAAAGGACAAGAGACTCGCCCCGCTTTCGTCTCTCCTCGCGATATTCCACATTCATCAAGGTTGACACTGAACGCGGCCTGCGAAATGTCACGTGGTGCAGAAGAGCGTTTCCCACCTATACCCACTCTCGCGTGTCCCGCGCGATCGATCCGTCTCTCCATCTTGCCGCGCATCCTACCACCGATGAATCTACCTCTATCCTTTCCTCTCACATCCCACATCCGTACCGGCTGTTCATCGTCCACGACGTTCACTACCTCCCGGAGGACCCGAGACCGGCCCGGTGCGCTGGCACTGCGAAGGCCCTCAGGCCGCCCCCGACGCCAATCTCCACCCCCATACCGGCGCCCAAGGGTGGCTGCACCTGACCTGTCAAGTTCATCGACGAGTTCACCAGTCCCAAAGCGTCGCCCAACATCGACGACGCAGCCGTCCCCGCGGGCCCACCGTCGCCCGTGGGCGGCGCCGGTCTCGCACGCGGCGCCCTCGCGCACTTCTCCAGGTGGTGATGGTGCGACCGAACCGCCAAGCGACTCACGTGCACCGGAATCGGCACTACGATCCTGGTACCAGAGCCGGTGTGTTGTCCCGTGGCACCGTTGTGGCGGCCAGAGGCACCGGAGGGCGTCATCGCCGCCGCCGCCGCCGCCGCCGCCGCTGAGCCGACGCCGACGCCGCCGCCGCTAAGCCCGGCCTTCACCCGCTTCCACTTGGCGCGCCGGTTCTGGAACCAAATCTTCACCTGCGCACCACACAATTGCGCCAGTCAATTCGGAGCTACGAACGTGCGCGCGGGGATAGTGAACACGAGCTACTTGTCTGCGCCCTCTCTCTCCCCCCTCTCGCTCACCCTCGACTATCGCCCGTGTTTGTACGCGCGAGGAGACAACTTGATTCAAAGTCTGATTCAAAGTTAGCTACGAGGTTAGCCGACAGTTTTGTACTGGCATACGAGGTTCGATCAAAAAGTAACGAGAATTTTGAAATTGCGCGCGCTGTATCTTGTCTATTCAGTTGATTCTTTTTTGTGTGTTGGTAGCACTACCGCAGTAACATACGTGTCAATTTTCAGGCAGCTGCGACGCTTGGTTTGTGTTTGGCGAGCGAACGAGCAAGACGTACTTCAGTGTGTCAGGCGACTTTTTGTGTGGCGAAATGTCGGAATCAGTGAGCATACCATACGCTTTGCTTATCCAACAGTTCTTGGCGAAGCACAACACCGTTGTGATGCCGCAACCACCTTATTCCCCAGGCATGGCACCCTGTGTCTTTTTCTGTGTCATTTTCTCAAACTCAAAAGGACGCTCAAAGGACAACGTTTATCAACAACAGATGAGACAAAGGCGAAGTCGCAGATACGCTCAAGACGACACCTAAAGAGACGTTCCACCAGTGTTTCTCAAACTGGAAACTACGTTGGCACAAGTGTATATAATATCACAGGGGGACTACTTTGAAGGAGATGGGATGAACATTGAAGATTAAATAAACATTTTCCGAGAGAATAAAAAATTCTCGTTACTTTCGGATCAAACCTCGTACATGCTGAAATACGTGGCTCATCGCGGGGGTGAAAACTGATCGCGGGCGAATCGTGTAAGGACTGACCTGGACTTCCGACAGTTTCAACGCGTGCGCTATGTGCGAGCGCTCCGTCAGGCTCAGGTACTTCTTCGCGTGGAACTCGCGCTCCAACTCCAACAGCTGTTCCGAGGTGAAGGCGGTGCGCCGTCGGCGGGCCTTGTTGCCGCCCGTGCTCGACCCCGACGAGCTCTGGCCGTTCTCCGAGGTGCCACCGTTGGGACTAGTAGCGACGCTGCCGACGCCGCTGACCGGGCCATCGGAGACGTCGTGACCTTCGCTGGAGCCCGCAGCCCCGCCGCCCTCGTCGTCGCTCTCAGCCGACGCTCGGCCGTTCTCGGAGCCTGGAACACGTGAATGAAGCGCGCCAGTCGGAGAGGATGCTCTCTTCGTGTGGGGTGGGAATTTTAGAATATACTTGAAGCTCGCAGTCAGCCAGCAGAGGCTAGATAACTTTTTTAGCCCGTTGCTGACTTGTTACTGACTGCTTCTTCAAAATGTAGATGATGTGGATGTGATTTATGTTGCACCACCACTAGAATTTTGAAATCAGGTAGCGGGTCTCGAAATTGGGATTACGTCATTTTGTAAAAGTCTTGAGAAAACAGAAATCTGATACTATTCTGGCTGGTAGCGATGTTAAACCACGCAAACGTTCTACCTTACGTTGGACACTCATGAGGTTCAGTTTTTATTCAGACAATTGTAACAACTTTGGTGGCACACGTGTGAGATATTTCGTAAATTTGCCGTAAATAAATGATGATTAAGTATCGGGTCTGCAAGTGCTGAACATTTAAGCGTTATAATTAGCGATATCGGGGAGAATCTAAAGAAAGTTGGATTTATGCCAACCAAGGAAATATTTATGGGAGGAATCTTAACGATCCGATGAAAGACTCGTGAGATTGAAACGTTAAATATAACTTGCTCAATAATTCAAAGTTACAAAATTCAGTAACACTTCGGTAGCCGATATCGATTAAGAAGTAACATCTCCGTGACATTATGAAGCACTATTTGTAGCAAAATGGCGCGTCATAGGCAAGCGTTTCGTCTCGGTTCCGCGGCTGCGACAGATCTCGGCCGATCACTGCGAACGTAAGCGCGAGCGAAATATTGCCCACGTTTGTTCGCCGAGCAATTACACCTCCAAATCGACCCAATGGCTGAATAATTAAGAGCAGACTACTGATTAAGCACCGCGACGATTGTACATATACTGGTACTGCTTCTAAATAGAATTATCGAGCGCGCGTCTGGCCGATTAAAAATAGTCCCGCGAGGCAAAATAATTCCGGCTCGGAAAAGGGTTTAACATCGACGACAAACTCCCGCGACATTAAGTCATCAAGGGGGTTTATCGCTACCGAGACTATCGCCAGTATCTATAGCCTGCCAGCTATTTAATATGCGGGGCAGATTGCTCGTTCCTTCATAAAAGTTGCGTTCTTCGATCGTCGGCGACGTTTCCCCGTCCGTAATTTCCCGTGCCGCGTTCTTTTTTTCTTTCCTTCCTTCATCCGCGAGGCGGCCGAGCGCGGCATGCAATATGCACCGGGATACGAAACAGACGAAAGAAAAAGTTACCGCGGAGTTTGATGACTCCGCCGGGGTCATTATTTATTGAAAATTATTCCTACGCGCGCGCCCGCACCGTTATATAGTACCGCACGCGGTTATACGGTTCGCGCTCGGCTGATAAACGTTTCGACCATCGACCGAACGGATATATTCGCGACAACGAATATACATAAAAGAGAAACGCGAGACGATTGCGAAAGACTGGACGTCAAGTGGGACGTCGCGGGCAATTAGAAAACTTCCAAGCGCGATACGGAGTTCTGCTTTTCACGAGAAATCGGCAACACGTCTCTCGAGGGAAACTCGATATAAAACTAATCGAGTGAGTTGTTTTGCATAATGCCACTCGCGGATCGACTAAATATTTCATTCATTGTCTTTCTCTCACAGATATATTTAAAAACGATGCACCTGGAAGCATTTCGATATCAACTTGCAACTTGTCGACAATTGCGGCCAAAAGTTGGATATACACGGAAATTTTGTGCACAAAAGTATAAAGTCACGTTCTCAGTCTTTCCTATTTCCTTCTGCCGCAGCTGCTTCCGGCAGGTCGGATAAATTGAGACGAATTAAAATCTATACGGGCTTAGCATTTCCAGCGACTATTCCGTATAAATATAAATAGTCACAAGTTCCGCTCTCTCTCTCTCTCTCTCTCTCTCTCTCTCTCTCTCTCTCTCTCTCTCTCTCTCTCTCTCTCTCTCTCTCCCCCCCCCCCCCTCTCTCTCTCTCTCTCTCTCTCTCTCTTCTCCGCTGGATTCTCTAGAGTGCGTGATTCGCACAACTTTTCCCAAGCGCAACGTGGTCGGGTCGCATGATTGCCGCGGAGCCGACGATCATTATTTGCGGGTGCATTATTTCCTGCTAAAGTTCGTTGTCAACGGTCAACTCGGCTATGGTCACAGTCTGACTTATTCATCGGCCGCGATTCATGTCTTTCTTATCCCGAAGTTGGCGGACCGACCGACCGATCGGCCGATCGGCCGGCCGGCCAGTGCGCAACTTTCCATTACGCCGGTTTGATGCACTCTCCAACTCCGATGACTTATTTAGCGGATTTCGATTAGGCGAGAGAGAGAAAGAGAGAGAGAGAGAGAGAGAGGAGGAGAGAAGGGGAGGGAGAAGGAGCGAAACACTTCCGTGAGCGTACACGGGCGTTGTCCCCTGTCTTTACACTTCGCGGCGGAATCGAGCGTGCAGATCGATGATCCGCGAATGCAGGAACAACGTCGTTATATCCTCGTTTAGCGCGAGCTGCTCTACCAGAGCGCGGGGCTTTTAAACTATACTATCTGTCTGGCGAATAGAGTTATTGGAGCGAGGCTATAAGCCGAAACTCAAACACGACATTGGAATCGACAGTCTCGCTCGCTTTGAACCACATCAATTCGACACTCAGAGCGAATAGGTGAAGGCGGCCGCGAAAGTGATGGGGTGACGAGTATGCGGGATTACGTAAGCGTCACTGTGCGTTCACTGACGAGGAGGTTTTACGCAAAGGTCGAAGAAAAAGGAACCTTCGGAGTCGCGAGACGAAACTGTAGCGGGAACTTGCGATGTACACTCGCGCGCGCTACATGCCGAAGCTATTTATTATTAACCGTGTATTTAGCATGGCATTTTTCCGCTTATGTAAGATCGCGAACTTTGGCGAATCATTATAAATATTTACGCGCCATTTCCACGTATGTGACACGTCTATCTGTCTATCTAAAATAAAAATATACCAGGTACTTTTTTTCTCGATGCATCCCGAGGCAAAAACCTATGTCATACAAAAGATCGCTCAAAAGATAGGCGTAGCATTTGTAGCATTCCTTCATTTCATAATATATTAGAAAAGCCAGTGCTCCAAAAGCTGCTTTTTGAACAAATACAACTTTAGAGCACTTATGAGTGCTCAAAATTCTACTTTCTTGTCCAAAATTTCATGCTCCACGTGCTCTATGTGCTCCATATGCTGCTGGTGATAAAAGTTACAAATGCTCCTTGTGCTCAAAATTTTGGTATCGCACATTTCGTTCCCGAGGAGGAGAAGAGCCAGAAAAATACAGCCAAGTTTATATTTTTACTTACATGCTGTTCTATTGAAGCTAGAGATACCACATTTACAAAAAGGAAATAGTAATAATTAATTAAAATTTTTTTTAATATTTGATAAATGTGGTAGTTCCTACTCAATAGAATAGATAACATAAGCAAAAATATTAAACTCGACTATATTTTCTAGCCTTCCCTCCTCGAGAACGAAAAAGATTTATTGTGTGTAATAATGAATTGCTCAGTTGAAGTTTTTAAATGATAAATTTATTTATTATAAAATATTTTATAATAAGAACAAATTTTATTACATAGTGCGATATGTGTTTTGATTCTCTTTTTCAATATAATTTATGTTCAATTCTGGATTCGAAATTTGAGAAATAGACATAAATGATGATTGTTCATAATTATTGAAAACCGATGATTGCTGTGTAAATTCTCTGAAACATTGAGCAATAAAGTTTTTAAATTATGGATTATCGAATGACATCTGAGATGGTCCCAAAGGGACTTTTGAAAAAGAAATCAAATTTGAGTTGTGGTATGGGAGTGGTTGTGTCTGAAAATTTAAATTTGTTGGAGTTAGCTGGTCACTTTGATTCCAAGATACTGATGACGGTGTGAGAATGGGAAGAGGTTGAGGTGTAGATGTAAAATGTTCTGTAATCGGTGTATTATTCTGAGACGCTGATAATGAAGGAATTGAGTCGAGTTGAAGTGGTTGGTCACGTGAGGAACTCTGCTGCTGTGGAAGTAAATCACTTGTACTGCGGTCTGAATGTATATATGTATGTATGTATATATGTATGTATGTATGTACGTATCTATGTAGAATCTACAAAAGAAATATAAATTAAAATTTAATTTGTAAAACTGAAACCAAATAAAATGTAAAATACAAAATCTTAAATAAAATATTAATTCTTTATTAATCTTTTTAACGAGGAGCATTTTGAGCATTTATAACTAAGGTAACATTTAGAGCATTCATCTCTTTTTCCGCGAAAGAGCTCTTGTATGACATAATGCTACAAAATATGACAAGGAGTACTTGGATGACACGTCTGACTGAGCAACTTATGAGCTGATTATGACTTGGAGCATTGAAAATATGACGCGGAGCATTCGCAAATAGAAAAGAACAATGGAATTGAGCATGTATCGCATTTAATGATTTTTGCCTCGGGATGTCAAGTTTCGACTTCCGGAGTTTCGCTCCGGTCGATCTCATATAAATCGATGTTTCATGTCAATTAATTTTTATCGATGAATCTTTTATATGATACTATATAACTCGATATATAAATATAATGCTACAAATGTACCTTTGCGTTAGTTGAGTACTGATATGACTAAAGTCACAAATGGCACGGCACTATCGCGGAGCGACGGAACTGAATTGCTGCGAATGGAAGGCAATTTTCAGCGTAATAAGTTAAGACCTGCGTAAACGTTACCTAGCGAGTAAGAGAGGTATAGCGGTTTATATAAAATTATGCACCCCCGATACGGAATGCTACGCCATCAGCAATAATCGGGGCAATTTGCCTATCGATTGCTTCGGTCGCGAATTTACCTGCCAATTACGCGACAAGCAACAGATTAATTAGGTCGCGACATCTTTATTGATTTTGTCCTAAGAAAAGCTCTTAGTGTCTACGTGTCGGATGTGATATTAAAATACCATCAATTCATCGCGTATAATGAGAGCTAC